ATCCAGTTATGCTTTACTGTGACAACAATGGTGTTGTAGATCTGGATTTTCCACACCACTCAATCTCTCTACTCTCTACTCCAAATCTCCAATCAAATTCTCATTCAATTTATATTTATATTTACAATTTATTCATATTATTTATTTATTTATTTGTATTATAAAATTTTTTGTATTTTTCAATATCATCTCTTATTCATATTATTATTTAATTTTTTGTCCATTTTAATTTTTATTATTTTATCATAAATTCATAATGGATTCCCGAAATAATGCATTCGGATGATCATCTCCAAATGAATTTTACATTCCATCCATCAAAGAAATTGAACGGTTCAATCCATTTTCAACATTTCCTCCAGAGGCAGCAACTGCAATTTAACAACCACATTCGGCTTGGACGAGGTGTAGCTAAACACAAGCGAGCTACGACTCAACACGCACAAGCATGGCCCAACCCCCCCGACTGTCAAAGAGGGTCATCTCCAATGTATGGTGACACTTCACCAAATCAAATCAGCCAAAGACAATTGAGAAGGGGGAAGTATTGTGTGGGGTATGTAATTTTTGTGGAACTATTATTGGTGCTGAGAAGGAGACTTCGACGATGTGACGACACTTGGAGAAGAAGCACCCTCAAATAATGCAGCTGTCCAGTACATCTTCAACCAGATCAGGTAGGCAAATTCAAATTCAACATAATTTTAATTATCAACTCTGTCAACATGGCAATACAATGCACATGTTGCACGAGAAGAAATAGCAAGATTCATAGTTGTTACGGACTCTCCCATTTGTTTATTTGAAAATCCTTATTTTATTCACCTGATTAAAACTAGCAAGGATACACTGTAAAAGCATACAGTGATGCCAGTTTTCAAACTAACAAGGATGATAATAGATTGCGGTCAGGATATGTGTTCTATCTAAATAGGCTGCAGTGAGTTGGAAACGTTCTAAACAAGCATTGTAGCATATTCTACAATGGAAGTTCAATACATAATATTGAATGATGCGGCCAAAAAGGTTGTTTGAATCGGGAAGTTCATTATAGAACTTGAAGTGGTTCCGAGCATTGTTGATCCAGTTATGCTTTACTGTGACAACAATGGTGTTGTAGATCTGGATTTTCCACACCACTCAATCTCTCTACTCTCTACTCCAAATCTCCAATCAAATTCTCATTCAATTTATATTTATATTTATAATTTATTCATATTATTTATTTATTTATTTGTATTATAAAATTTTTTGTATTTTTCAATATCATCTCTTATTCATATTATTATTTAATTTTTTGTCCATTTTAATTTTTATTATTTTATCATAAATTCATAATAGATTCCCGAAATAATGCATTCGGATGATCATCTCCAAATGAATTTTACATTCCATCCATCGAAGAAATTGAACGGTTCAATCCATTTTCAACATTTCCTCCAGAGGCAGCAACTGCAATTTAACAACCACATTCGGCTGGGACGAGGTGTAGCTAAACACAAGCGAGCTACGACTCAACACGCACGAGCATGGCCCAACCCCCCAACCGTCAAAGAGGGTCATCTCCAATGTATGGCGACACTTCACCAAATCAAATCAGCCAAAGACAATTGAGAAGGGGGAAGTATTGTGTGGGGTATGTAATTTTTGTGGAACTATTATTGGCACTAAGAAGGGGACTTCGACGATGTGACGACACTTGGAGAAGAAGCACCCTCAAATAATGCAGTTGTCCAGTACATCTTCAACCGGATCAGGTAGGCAAATTCAAATTCAACATAATTTTAATCCTCAACTCTGTCAACATGGCAATACAATGCACATGTTGAACGAGAAGAGATAGCAAGATACATAGGTCCTACGGACTCTCCCATTTGTTTATTTGAAAATCCTTATTTTATTCACCTGATTAAAACTGCATTTTGTCCAACATATACCCCTGTTAGTAGAAGTACAAGTAGAAAGATATACTAAAACTTTATAACAAAATAAATACTAAACTTAAAAACGAATTTCAAAATTTTAGGAATATATCTATTGCACTTACATTAGACATATGAGCTTGTAGATCAAAAACAGATTTTTTAACTGTCGCAATACATTTCTTAGATCATAGTTGGGGTTTACAACAAAAATCAAAGGGTTTGAAACCATTATGTGAAAAACATCGTGCTGACACTATCTATTTTACAATTCTTAAAGTTTTACAAGATTATGTATTAACTAATACAGTTGTAGCACTAACACTTGATAATGCAACTGCTAATACCGCGACAATCTCTTTATTTGAAAAGAGATTGGATCTGCGTGGTGAAGGCAAATTTTTTCACCATAGATTTACTTGCCACATCATCAATTTGATTGTTAAAGTAGGTTTAGATGCTATACATTCGAAGATGGAGAAGGTGTGCGCGACTATTGGATTTATCATCGGCGATAGCAATAAAAGATGGCAAGAGTACATCAAATGTTATAAGCAAGAGAACCCATTGGTTCAACCTTTGAAGTTATGTACGAACATGTCTATCCATTGGAATTCCATCTACTTGATGTTAGAAAAAGATTTGCCAATCGCAAGACAAATTATAAATTTCATCAACCGGAAGAACCATCCAGAGGAAGTTGTTAGCTATGATGATTGGGCGGTTTGTGAACTTTTTTATTCATTTATTAAAATTTTTTATGATTCCACTAATACATTAAGTAATATTTATTATCCGACTACTAATTTAGCGGTAGATATTTTACTTCAAATTTTTAAAACTTTTGCTAAATATAGATATAATGACGTTTTAATGGAAATTGTCTTAAAGATGGAAGAAAAAAAGTAGAAATATTGGTTAGATATTCCATTCTTATATGGATTAGGCCTTGTTGTAGATCATAGGTTTAAATTACACGTAGTTAACTGTATAATTACTGAGATAGGCCAGCATTTAAGACATGATTATATGTCTTATTTGACTGACGTTAAGTAAAAATTGGCAAGCTTTTTTCTTTATTTAAGAACAAGTACAATGGAAGTGGAAGTGGAACGTCCAAGAAAGACGATCAGGACCTTGATGAAGACCTCCATCAAAGATCCAGCATTTGATTGAAGACAAAGTTATTAAGGTGGTAAATTCCTGGTAAAGAAAATCCAGCAGATATGTTCACCAAAGTTCTTTCTTTGGACAAGCTAAGGCTCTTTAAGAGCCTACTGCATATTGAAGAAAGTTAAAGACAGATTACCAAGACAGTGAGGGATGGCAAAATCAAATGCCAAAGTAGAGATTTGTTGTAATGTGGTATTTGACTTATGCATATATAGAAATCAGAATTATTACTTGGATGGTCAAAGTTATTTGATAAAAAGAAAAGGGGCAATTGGGGGATTTCCCGATTAGGTTTTTTTGTAACCTAAATTTTTTTTGGTCGACATAGTTGTTATGCTCCATTTCTCGATTATTCTCTCTTGGTTACAGAGAGAGAAAGGTTATTACAAATGGTTTAACATTGAAGATCGTATGATGGGATCTAACGGTGCTAGTAGGTTTAGTTTGTTATTTTATATTCCTTTTCTGTGTATAAATCATCCATTAATTTCTGATTTTCTGCAATGTATAAGAGGTGAGGAACATCTGGGATTTCGCGTGTATTACATAGGGTTTTCTCGAGAATCAGTGTGTAAGTATGAGATTTGTAAGCTCTGTAATGTTTTCTTCTTTCTCATAGTGAATTTCTTTATTGCCCTGAAGAGTGGATGTAGGTAATCAATTTTTTATTACCAAACCACTATAATTTCTTGTGTATAGTTTCTCTCCTGCTCTCTTATTACTTTTCAGTTATTTACTCGTGCTTTTGCTACTGATTAGAAACTTAGGTTTGCTTGTTTACCTTATTCGAATAGTCTCATGTTTAACAAAACTTATATGAGAAGGTCTCACCGCATTATGATTTTCCGCAAGGGTTGTGTTTAAAAAGAACACTTCTGGTAAGCTAGTTAATATTTTTTTTAGGACTTTCTGTGTCTTTAAGCCTACAAAGTTCTTAATCTTGTCAAAAAAGGACTTACAAAAATTTAAAAGTGTTTTTATCCATGAATTCGCGGAGTTCAATATGACGCTTTTTCCCAGTAATTATGAGGTTTTTCCGAATATGAAGCATCCATGGTCAACTCAACCAGGAAGCAAGTGTTTTTATCTTGTCAAAAATTCATTTTGGATTAATTTTAAGTACTTGAAAGTGCTTTATTAAGCACTGCCAGAAGCACCAGCGTCAAGGTTTGTGTTTTAAAAAAAAAAAAAAAAAAAAAAAAAAAAAAAGAATACTTCTGGTAAGTTACTAAGTTACTTATTTTTTAAGTATTTTCTGTGTTTTTCAGTATACAGTGTTCTTAATCTAGTCAGAATAGCACTTTTTCTTATTTCAAGTGTTTTCATCCATGAATTCCCAGAGACGATGAATATGATGCTTTTTCCCAGTAACTATAATGTTTTTGTTCAAATATGAAGCATTCATGCTCAACCATGAAATGCAGCAATGAATCCAAATCCTTCGCAATATGGTTACAGAACTAGGTACTCTAACATTAAGTTACAGCTAAGTATAAATTTCTTAATATTTTAACTGAATTCATTAGCAATCAGGTTGGTTTATAGATAAGATAACAAATGAAAGGTCCAGTTCTCTTTGTTTGAGATAAGTGGAGAGTAAAATAAAGAACATTTTGCAATGGAAAGCAAACCGCTAATTCTTATAAAGAACATTATAAGATGAAAATACTACCCAACTTCATTGCCATTTCTCTGTAACTTTCTTTTGTATCTTAGAATTATGAATAAATAAAAACCTATTTTCGTGGCTCATACCAATGTGGGTCAAGAAGTTATGCCAGGCTTAACAATTACAACCTTCCAATACAAGATTATTTTACACCATTCATTCTGCATTATCAGTATTCCAAGCAAGTTGGTTGCACATTTTAATGCCATAAATGAAACCTAACTGATAAGGCTATCCAAAAATTATCTGAACCCAGAAAGGATGTGTTTCAGGTCTTCTGAAATAAGTCATAAAGAGTCTCAACTTTCCCTTCCTCTCCATTGCCTGTACTACCTTCTTCTTCTTCATCAGTAATGGGAGGTTCTAAGGCATTAATGTTTATAGTATCCGATAAGTACTCTTGCACTCTAAATGACAATTCAGTTTCAGGATGTTCGGAGGTCTGAAGAACAGACTCTGCCTGTTCAGTTGATGTTATAGTTACTTGATTCAGTGACTCCATGGAAGAACTCCTAGATAAAGTACTGGATGCCACCATTATTTCATCTCTTTCATCAATTGTTGATTCGAGTGAGCATATAGACCTTGTAGTGCGTGAATGCAATGAGTCGTGTTTAGACCTCTCCTTTACTCTCTTACACCAACTATGGAGCGACTCTCTCACACTTTCCGCCACCAGAGCTTTCTTCCATTGAGATCCCATCTGAATTGGTCAAAGAGCTATCAGCTTAGAATCCTAAAATTACAAGAGTTTAAAATGAAGTCATATTTATTCCTTAGTCAGAAACATAAGCTAAAGTTTCAATAAGCACACCAGAAGATAGAGGTTTGTAAATTACGAAACATGTATAGCATAGATGTACTATTTCAATTCAAAAATGCCAATTTAATTTTAGTATCAATATTTGTTTGTAAAAGTTCTTAGGCAAACCTGTGTCACAATCACATTCAGTGGGACTGTGCTGTAGCTGCACCAGAACTGAACAAGAACCCTGCATTTATAAAAATAAAATACATATATAAGATGGTTTTTTCCATCTAAAAGTACATATAACTAATCTGTTTGCACATTATATATATATCTAAAAGAAGATTTTTTTTTTTTTTTTTTTTTTTTCACTTTGAGCCGTGTACCTTAGCTCTATACTGTGTTAAAGGATCATTTTTGCTTGAAGCTGATAGCATCTCATTACTTATGTACATAATTTGCTCTCTCAACATAATCATGATCAAAACACAAAACATAATCTGTGTAAATCGATGCAAGAACCACTGAGAAAGTTGAAGAAGAGTATATTCTTATAAACAGAGAAGTTTTCTGGAAAGCACATGTTTTCAATCAGCGATAGATAGCTACAAGAAATTATTTCTATGAGATGAGCCAATGAGGGTGATTATCTCAAAGAAAAATGATAAACAAAGTGAAGGACCAAGGCATGGAATACTAATAATAGCAGCCAAGAATTGTTAATCCAGATAAAATAATTGTCTTATTTCAGTGGCTTTATACTAATTAATTTGTTGAAATTACAGTAAGATCCATGGCATTATACCAAAAACCAGCAGAAAGAAATAATATTCATATGCACGAGCCAAATTAGTAGCATAACTGAAAATATATCATACATTTTCATGGAAGTACATAGTTAAGAAGGAAACGTACCCAGAGGTCAATCGAATGATTATCATATAGTGATTTTTCAAGAAGCATGATCTCTCCTCAAGTCCCCACTAAACAACAGAAAATTACAGATTCATTACAAATTGCATGTTCTGGGATTAATTATAAAGCACAAAATGGTTTATTTACTAGCCTCATAGTTATGTATTCTGTGAGTCATTGTTAATACATCGTCTATTTTAAGCAGTTCATTGACTGAAAACTATCAGTTAAAGATCTTTGGTATATGATAGACCCCCCATCAAGAAGGTGTACAAATACAGAGGGCATAAGAGTAAAAAGGAATAAGAGTGCATGCGTTAGTGGAGGATGGGTTTAGGCGTGTGGTGTGTGAGGAATCAATTAGTTAGAGAGGGAATAATTCAGTTACTTGATTAGTATAAGAAGAAGGCTTACGTAAGCAGAAGGTAGAATTATCAATTGTCATTTAAGGAGGCCCCCAGCTCCTCGAATTGCTTGGACTATCTGTTGCATTTGTTTTCATTTCATTGTAATTGAGGATTGTTCTGGATATTGTCATTTCTTTTCCCTTAATACCATATTGAATTGATCCAGGATTACAGTGATCATTATTACTCCTTTTTGTCCCTTTTAAATTTGCTAGCTGTGTGTGTGATTAAGTGAGATACTGGGGAGTTCTATCAGTATATATCGGCTGTACATAAAAGAGGACATAAGGTGTTAATCATGTCATTTTTTTGTCATTTTTTTTAAATACTTAATATAACAAGAGAATGCCGAAACTGAATATTAGTACGACGTATGCAAATTATATGCTGACCATGGATTTCACAAGCAAACAAAACCACAGAGAAAGAACAAGTATACACTTACCAAGGACCATATGAATGTTGCCATCTCAAAGGCGTTCTGCACAAATAGGAAAGAAATGAGGACGACAGTCAAATGTGGATGAGAATCTGGATATGTGAATGAAATAACACAAGAAATAATCACCTGGAATATAATAAATTGAATCAACCGCAACAAAATCACCGGTTTTCTAAACCAAAATAGATCATCACTTGGCTTTACTTGAGTCCCAACGGGTGGCCCTGTCTGTTCCTTAATTTCAAGGGCCAATGAGGAGACAACATGCTGAAGCTTTGTTCCAACCAACATGACAAGCTTTGACACGTACAAATTGAGCACAAAATGCAATATTATTAGGGAGAGATCAATTGGATCAGATGATAACAATTAACAAGTGTGAGAATACCTACAATGGCAGGGATAAAAGACAACCAGAAATAAATATTTAGACCTGCAAAAGAATAAACGACTTCATTATCCCACAAAATAAAGCTTAATCGATAAAGGACATTCGCATTATGAATATACAACAATCTACCATGAATGTTTATGAAGATGCACACTATTGCATAACCCCAAAGTGGCCAGCTGCAAAATTGGAAATAATTTAGTGTAAACTTATTTTACTTCTTCCGCACTCTCTGGAAGAATTTATATCCAGAAAATCTCAAATGCACACACAAAAATCGGTATTGTTGGAAATTGTATTACACAATTATTTGGTCTCATTCAATTCCAAAAATGGTAAAATACCATGTATGAATGCAAAACTAAAGAATTTAGAGCAGTGCTGGGAACCAGATAAAAAAATCACACACAGAACTGCAATTCAGCTTGGATGACTGCATACCTAATGCCGAGGATGCCATGAAATTCGTCTTCCATACTTCGAACCATATAGTTATGGAAATTATAAGAAAGTGGTAGTTTGTGCTTCTAAAAAGATGAAGAAGGAAAATAAGCAATATAATTTCAATACTGAACCAGGAAGATAGCTGATATATTGATGATAACGATTAAACACAAAATTGAAACAATGTAATGGCTTGCAGACTTCAAGTGACATGCTAATAAAGACAACATGGTATTTTGGTGAAGAAGAATAATATGACTATCATCACTAATAAAAATATAAGCGTAAGAGTCAGAACAAAGGGTTTTCAATTTGTCGAGTATCATCAACGCCATCATCTATATAAATACTTCCCATCTATTCTAGGTCCAACTATAGATTCAGTTGATTTCTCTATCAAAGTACCAGGGCCTCTCCCTCAACCCTGTTCTTATACTTCACATGAATACTTGGGAAATTATAGATATGGTGAATAAGCAAAGAAAACAAATAAAGAAGTATCATATAATGAAGCATTAGTAATAATCAGATACCCACAGTGATGAAACCCAGACGTAGAGCCAAGTAGTCTGACTTCCGTATAGAGCCCTTAAATTGTCTTAGAAAGCAAAGCTGCATAATTACACCGCAATAATCAACTTTACCTTAGACACTATCATTCAGAAATTAGGTAGACATTTACAAATCTTAACTTTTGCTTCTGAGAAGAAAGCACAACAATGGAAAAACAAAAATCATTACTACTTAATGCTAATACTTGTCAATCATATAAAAGCAAGAAAAGTTACCATCCAAAGTAGAACCCGACTTCTGCTCCATGGATGAGATGTGTGATGGAAGACAAAGGTGGTTTGTCGCCGCATCACCTTGAATTTCTTTTCTATAAAATAAAATGAAGATTAGAAAACTGATATAATTGAAAAATTAACAATGTAGATATGAATCATAAACCAAGAGTAAACCAGGGGCCTTTGCACATTCGCTAAAGTCTCTTCTGCAAGAGGCAATTATGCAGTTACTACTGCATTTTGTGCAACTACTGTCTATGTATATGGCACGACAACCAGTAATATAACAACGGGGCAACCTAAAACTATACAAATCTTCTCAGCACATATGCAGTTGATTTTGATTTGCATGGAATTCTTTATTTGGCAATTCAAGTGCTGCTGAAGCCCCTTTTGCAGTATTATGACAGAAGCACATATTTTAGTTAGCTAAGCAAGATTGTGTACTGACTCGAGCTGGATAAGAAGATAAATAGTCTAAAATAATTGCTCTAGTTCATGAAATCCATAAATCCCAACCCACTAATTTGATTGACCTCATGTTTCTTGGTTGAACTAATCTGTATTGAGAAACTGCAAGACAAACTGATTGACACTTTGTCCATTCGCTACCACAAATTAGCGTGTGTCACTCATATTTGTTACAAAACACACATTGCAGAAGGAAGCTCTTATTTCATACTTGAAGTTGAGTTCAAATAACCATGATCAAGTTGTCATCTATCAAACTATTGGATCACTTAAAGTGAAATTACTACCAAGCTCTTATGTGTTAGATAATTAAAATGGTATCAAAACATCATTTTGTTTCATAAGCAAATTGAACAAAAACAAGCAGGAACTTCCTGTAAACCTTGCAAACTTGCATCAGCCGCTGGAAATGCTTGGTATTCCCATTTCCTCCAACTATAAATCTACAATAGCATGTCATCAAAAACAAATAAACCTTAGCACAAATATTAACGAGCCTATTAGACATGGAAATACAATTAATATTGCATTTAGCTTTGAATAAAATATGAATATCTTGAACAAACTATAGAAAATGCAGTATCATCAAGCTCCAATTAAAAAACCACCTTCAAACGGAGAGATTAAGAATTTATTGAATGATGCAAACAAAGAGACAAGAAGGCACCTTACTCATGGCCAAACCAACAGCCAAGCAGCTGTAAAGGACATGAGTGATACCAAGAACAAACAAGAAACGGTGAAGCTGCTCAAGACCCTCAAGTGAAACAAACGGTTCACGACCCTTCAATCAACAAGAAGTGTGTTAAAAAGGCTAATTCACAAACCAAGAGTGCAACAAAGTTATTCAAATGGTAAAAGAAGAATTTTACCTCACCACATTGATGAGATGTGTGAGTGTTAATTCCTCTGGGGGGAATATCAGATTCATTTTGAAAAGAGAAGGAACTTTTTAACAAGACATGCTCATTGATGCCATAATCTTTTTCAGAACAGATATAAAATTTACTGCTGAAAAGTGATGAATTCACACAAATCTCGGATATCCCTCGTGCCCATTGCGCCAACAACAAAGATATAAGCCCCAGCAACATCAGCTCTATCAGCAAAACAAACAAACAAATAAATAAATAAAAATCACACAAATCAAAAGCCAAATGCCATATAAGAAATGCTATTCTAAACCAAATTAACAAAAGAACAAACAGAAACTTGATGAAAAGTCAGTATCAATTTTAAATCAAGAAAAGTGAAAGTTGAAACTAATTGAAGAAACCCACCTTCTTTAATCTTCTCTAGTGAAGCAAATAGAGCCTTCCTCCTTGTTTTCTTCAACCACTACATAAATTTAAAAAATAAATAAATAAATAAATATTTTTCTACGAATTTGAACAGCTTTTTGGCAATTGTTAATTTCTTCATATTCCCACCCCATTTGACTAAAATTTGTGAGCTAATCCAAATGGCTATTCTGGTTCCAAAATTGTAAAAGAAAAAACAAAATTCTTTTCACGTTGTAACATTTTCCGAGCAACCAAACAGAGTTAATATTACAAAATTGATTTCCTCCAAACCTTGGGGAAATCTATCTAAACTCCAAGCTAGAAAGGAAAAAGAAATTAATTTGGCGTTTCTTTCCATTTCCAACATTTTCTTGGAATCAAATCAATACATATTACAAAGTTTCTAGATTTTCTAGGTAACAAATCCAATTCTTCGAACTTTTTGAAAACTTTCCTGAAAACAATCGAGGCAACTGCCATGTGGGTCCTAAGTGGGAAAAAGATCAGGATTCTTAACACATTGTTTTTTTCCACATTTTCTCAATAACGAAACAGATTCCCTAACTAAATTCCCCTTTTCTTAACAAATTAACATTTATCCCAATGAGAAAAACTAGCAAACAATTTAATTTTCCCACACTTTCTGAGAAACCGAAGAAGCCATTAATATAAAGCGGTCACTTTCTTGACCTTTTGACACTTCTTTGTTAAGCTAAGAAAATAACAATGTGGGTCCAAACTATTAACATAAGCAAGTAAATTTCAACAAGAAAGGATAAAAATAAAAAGAGAATTTCTTTACTTTCCCACATTTTCTCATGAACCAAACATACCTTTCCAAATTTGTAAATAGACTTTTGAGCAAGATAACAAACGAAAACCAAGACTGTGATGACTGAAGCAACAGAGTACGTTGGAGTCTCCGCCAGAGACCTCCCTTGCCTAATTATCACCTCCTCCATTTCTCTCATTTCCATAAACAACAACCCATTAACACTCAAAATAACGACAAACTTTCTCGAGAAAACTCTATAGTTTCCCGAGAAAATGGAGAACCTAAGTGGAGTAAAATATCAGAAAGAGGAGGATCCTGGAAATGCGGAAGTGGGAAACAGGAGGTACATGCTTACCAACTTAAAAATATATACGCTCTTACAGTAAAAAAACAAAAATAAATGTTTCTTCCATTATTTTATCAGCTTCAACGTCAAAATTTTGAAACTTTTGTCAATAATTTTATATTTAAGATGAATATTTAAGGCTACCTAAAAAGTAAACTAAAGAAAGCTATAGAATTTGTATTTTTTATTATTATATTTTTTTTTTTTTAAGTTTGTAAGAAGAAGAGGAAGAAGACAGTGAAGAGATTGAAAGCATAGTTTAATGAAAGTTCTTGAGGGAGTGTTCGTGGTTTACTAAACAGACCCGCTTTCGGTTGCATGGGAATCGATGCATTATCTCTCTCACGTGCTCTAACCACACCTAACCACACCTAACCACATGGATACTATTTTGTCGCTATCTCCTTCTCTTGTTTTGAAGTTCTAGCTCAAAATTATTGGCTGAATTTCAGAAAATACTCCCAAATTTTAAGAAATTATCAAACGTATAATAAGCATGAGAATGTTTATAGGAGAAATTATGATAGGGTTTGGGATAAGATCTACTTATATAAGGAACAGAGACTTCCAAGAACAAGAGACAGTGAAATTAATTCACAAAATTTTTCGTTGATAATCATGATCTAAATTTAGACTCCAAATAACTCTCAAAAGAATACTAATTCCTATTCTAATTGCATAATAAAGTAATTATAATTCTTATTTTAAAAAATATCATAATTACAGGATATCTTAATTACCTAATTCTACTTAACGTACCTTTTTTGTATATCTTTCTCAATCATCCCAAAATCAGGTTCCTAACATTACCTTTCCCTTCGGATCAACCTTGTCCTCAAGGTTTCAGGGTACTACAACATAACCTGCAGTTGTTATCGAAGCCAAGACCTTCAATTGTGAACAACCATAACAAATCATTTGGCTCAAATGAGGGCTAAGGCAATAAAGAGACATCCAAAGTTTCAAACTCGACGTCAAAATCAACACGTGAAAGAGACTCCTTCTGCACACTAGGTAAATCCAAGAGACGATAATTAACCGAATTGAGTTCCCATCTAGGATAAGCTTTCCCAGTGATAGCTTCAGAGGTCGTGCCAAGGACGCTAATGATAGGCGGCTCAAAGTGGAGAGTTGGGTAGCGCCGCCAGGGAGAGAGCAAAACATGTGGGAGGCTTGGTGAGGGGTGTCTGTAGTGATGGAGGATTGATGTTATTATGACAGTGAGGGACCAAGGGAAGGTCAATGGCAGGCTGCTGGTAGGCGACAAGCACGACATAATTTGGAAGAATGTCTGATGGAACCCACTTGAGAAATGACTTTCAATTCCGGGGAAAAGGTCGGGGTTGTTGTTGTCGTATGGCTTCATCCAACTGGGATTCCACTACTAGGAATTGCTGTGCAATTTCGTTGAGAAGACCCTTTTATTGAATCAAGCTTCGCGCCTTGCAAAGACTGAATAGTTGTCAAATTGGTTACCTGGCCTTCCAGATCTTCCAAAGTGCGAAGTCGATGTCCATTTGGCTGCGCGCATTTCGCCAACTACCCTTGATAATCCATAATTACGAAGGGTCCAAAACAAACCTCCAAGGCTTGTAGAAAAGAATCCCAAGAACAAATTTTTCCATTGGAAGACATCCAACGATACTAGAAAGAGTCGATCCATCCACGTGAAACTAAGAACAAATCAGTCGCTGTTCAAATGGCGTGTCAAAGTTATTGAAAATTGTTTTGCCTTAAATGTCCATCCTACTGGATCTGAACCATCAAATTGCAGCAAAGTGAATCGAAATGGGTTGAAGATTTTGTTGTTGCCACCTTAAATTTAGTCACTTGATCATCCAAAGTACATGTTCCATCTGCCATGGAAAAAGAACGAGAGCACCAATTATAAGGTTTGGGATAGGATCTGAGAAAATTGAAAGAAAAGAAAGATAAACTTCTTAATTGAATGATTCTTTGTATTGATTTACTAACTTGTTACAAAAAGTAGCTGCTTTTATACTTGAAAGAAACGAAGTGAAGTGAGAGTGAAAAAGAGTAAAGCAGCTGCAGCTAACAAACTATGAAGAATCGTTTAGGAAGAAAACTTTTACATGTAAAGTAAAATGACATCGTTTGTGAAATTTACGTCAGGTCCTCACATTTTGAGAGCTTGCAGTTAGCACCATGAATCTTTGGTCAACACTTCCCCTCAAACTAAGCTGTTTCTCTCCTCCATTATTTGGCAACTTTTAATCTTCAACGTTTCCTTGCAAACTAAACTGATTCTACTTTCTATCAATAAAGAAATTGACTCTTCTTGCTGATCTTCTTGCTAGAACTTATTATCAACAAAAAATTCTGCATTAACATAACTGCTGATCTGCTAACATAACTACTGATTTGCTGCATTGATTATGTATTAACATAAATGATGATCTGCGAACATAATTACTGATCTGCTGCATTGATTATGTATTAACATAACTGCTGATCTGCTAACATAATTACTGATCTGCTGCATTGATTCTGTATTAACATAACTGCTAATCTGCTAACATAACTATTGATCTGCTGCATTGATTCTGTATTAACATGACTGCTGATCTGCTAACATAACTACTAATGTGCTGCATTGATTATGTATTCACATGATTGTTGATTTGTTGTTTAGCTGATCTGCTGTTCAACTGCATGACTGCTAATCTGCTGTTTAACTGCATTGATTATGATATGCTATTCAACTGCATTGATGTTGATCTGTTGTTCAGCTGCGAACATGACTGCTGATCTACTATTTAGCTGTGGTTTTGACAGGTTTGCTAATGCTTAACCTCTGTAGTCATTTCTAAATCAGCAAAAGGCATGGCAAGAACATTCAATTTCTGTCTTAGTTCTTGAAATTGAGTCACTGATAGAGCCTTGGTTAGCACATTTGCTATTTGTAGCTGGGAAGGTACTTACTGAATTGCAATTTTCTTTGTAAGAACTTGATCCCTGATATAGTGAACATCAATTTCAATATGTTTGGTCCATGCATGGAAAATAGGATTTGCGGCAAAAGCACTAGCACTCACATTGTCACACCAAATAATAGGAGGAGTTTCCAGGTTCAATCCTAACTTTGAAAACATGCTCTGCAGCCATGCAATTTCAGTGGCTATGTTAGGTAACGCTCTATACTTAGCTTTGGTTGATGAAAGGGCAACCACCTTCTGTTTTCTTGAGCTCTATTGGATTAGATTAGGACCAAAGAACACACAATACCCACTTAGAGACCTTTTGTCATCCAAACTACTACCCCAATCAGCATCAACATAACATTCAATGCTGACAGATGCTACTGGTCGAAACTGTAGTCCATAATATTGAGTGTCTTTTATATACCTTAAAACCCTTTTGCAAGCCTGCCATTGGAGCTCAGTAGGAGCTTGAAGGTATTAACTTAGTTTATTTACTACAAGGCTTATATCGGGTCTAGTAAGGGTAAGGTATTGGAGAGCTCCTATGGTACTCCTATAAAGACTATGGTCTTTGAATAAAGGACTATCTGTAGAGTAGAGTTTTGTGCCAACAACCATAGGGTAGAACATGCATGAGAATCCAACATTTGTGTCTTGACAAGTAAATCAACAATGTACTTAGTCTGTTTTAAGTGAATACCATCAAGTGTTCTTGTAGTTTCTAACCACAAGAAATATTTGATAGAACCAAGTGTCTTTAAGGCAAATTGGTCATTCAATTCTTGAATAAGCTAATGTATGGATGAAGAGTTGGATCCAGTAATCAAAATGTCATCCATATATATAAGAATATATGTAACATGATTAGAATTTTTGCAAATGAACAAACTTGAATCAGAGATAGAATTCTAAAACCCTTTGGCAATAAGTGCAAACTTGAGCTTGTCAAACTAGGCTTTAGGGGCTTGTTTTAGACCATATAGAGCCTTGTTTAATTTGCAAACATAAGGGAGAATAGCTGAGTTTTCAAATCCATCAGGTTGTTGCGTGTAGACAACCTCATTCCAAGTACCATTAAGAAATGCATTATTTACATCCACTTGTTAGATATCCCAACCATTGGTTACAGCAAGTGTGAGAATGATCCTAATGGTGGAAGGTTTAACTACAAGACTAAATGTTTCAAAATAGTCCAACCTAGGTGTTTGTTGGAACCCTTTAGCAATCAATCTAGCCTTGTACTTTTGCAATGAACCATCAACATGAAACTTGGTTCGAAATACCCATTTATTCCCAACTACATGCATGTCACTGGTTCTTGGTACCAAAATCCAGGTGTTATTTTTTATTAAGGCATCAAATTCCAATTGCACGACTTCTTTCCACTCAGTAGTAGCTAATGCATCTTTCACAGAATAGAGTTCAAAGAAGACATGTGTGTTGCTAGATAAAATAAGTGCAGTTTTGCCTGAATGGTTAAGGGTAACTGAAGAGTTGGTTTTAGACCTTGTTAACATGGGATGTGTGTTAATATTTGGAGGCTGATCAGTTGATGTTGTGAGAAATTGTGAGGGTGCTAAGTCAACTACAAGAGGGCGGTGAGTAATATCTCGAGCAGAAGATGATTGAGAAGTAACAGAAGGATTAAGAGGTGGATAAGAGGTCAGATCGATTTCAAGTGTATGGTTTGAGGATTTGGAATTAGGTTTCTTATAGGGAGGAGGTATTATTTCAGATGTGGAATTTTGGGAATTAGATACGGGATTTGATAAACTAGGTATTGAGTTTGAAAGATTTATAGAGGACTCAGTAGTTGAATTGGACATATTTTTAGGAGCAAAGGCAGATTTATAGGATGGTAACGGTGAAATAGAATGAGTGGACTTATAGGATGGTAATGGTGAGGTA